GAGTCTTATGTCTGTTTTGTGGGCATTGATTCTTTGGCAAAGTGTCTGAGACGTTTATCCAATGTACATAGCAGATGGACACTTCAGGCACATGATGGCATAAATTATATTTCTGGAGTAACAGGAATATGTGTTCTTGATCTTGTAAGAGGCATGGTTAGGTCCAATAATGGTGTCAGCAGAGTAAATATGTGGACAAAGCTGGCAATTGGGTTTGTTGCAAGGGAAAGTTCCAGGGTTGGTATTAGTGTGGTATGTCCTGTAGTTGTAGGTAATAATCATCCTGAGGTTAGGTGGTTGCCTATAGGAGACTATGGGTCTGTCTCCCAGAGCCTGTCAGAGTATAATATCCTGTTCCAGTATAGGTTGTAGTTTATTGATAATGCGTTGGATGGGTTTATGTTGAGGGCTATAGGTGATGACAAGTGGTGTTCTATTGTTGGTTTTCTTGGGTCTGTCTTGAAGTCGATGGTTTCTGGGTATTCGTCTGGCTCTTTCAATTTGCTTTTTATTTCTCCAAGTGAGTAATTGAGGTTTATAAATGCTTGGTAGAGATCCTGAAGTTTCTGGTCTCTGTCAGTGGGATTAAAGCAGATGCAGTTGTATCTAACAGCCTGGCTATAGACGATGGATTGTATGGTGTGTTCTGGATGGGAACTGGAGGTGTGTAGGTAATTGTATGAGTCAGTGGGTTTTCTGTAGAGAGTGGTATCTAATTTACCATTGGTGATTTGTACAGTGGTGTCCATGGATCTTTCATGTAGAAAGGTCCAGGCTGAGATTGATGGTGGGGTGTAGGTGGTTAAAGTCTCTGTGGAATGCATCCAGTGTTTCTTGGCCATGGGTCCAGATCATAAAGATGTCATCCATGTAGAGAAGGGGTAAAAGAGGATGGGATCCTAGGAAACGTTGTTCTATGTCAGCCATAAAGATGTTAGCGTAATGTGGGGCCATGAGGGTATCCAGGGCTCTGCCGCTGATCTGGAGGTATAAGTTGCCCCCAAATTGGAAATAACTGTGGGTGAGAACAAAGTTACATAGGTCTGCTACTAGACTGGCAGTGGTATCCTCTGGGATAGCGTTTCTGATTGCTTGTAATCCGTCTTCATGTGGGATGTTGGTGTAGTAACTCTGTTTTAGCTGGATGTGAATCTCCCTTTTTTAGAAAGCATTCAGTCCATCATCATACTGGTATGAAGAGAAGTTTTCAGATGTTGCCATATAGGATGATTTAAACTGAGTTGGCCGAGGTCTGCACTGACTCTCACCCGGTCCAAACCCAATGGGGCCTACAGACCAGGATTCAGCCCTAAGTCTGAACAAGAATACCGAGTTATGGGCGGAGAGTCATAGAACAATGGCTGATCCACATGTGCAGCAGTTCAGCAACCTCAGGCTTAGTCTGTTGTGCGTTTCTCTTCTCTGACCTAACAAATCAAGGACAAGGTTGTAACAAACTTATTTTAAGACAGGACAGGAGGGGTGTAAATCCCCTCACAATGCCCTCTGTGGCCCACCTGGGATGTGACAGGGCACAGGATTAGGGAGTGCAAGCACCCCATATCTGTTATTCCTACCCAGAGAGGGAATGATCATGTTAGGGCAAGGAGTGAGTGGAGCCTTCGCTTTACCTTCCCATCATGCCTGCCAGCATTGCAGTAAGCTGCAATCTTTTCATTGCAGCAACAAATTACTTCCTCATGGAAGCAAGGGGATGGGACTATGTCTCAAACACAATTTCTTCCTAGGGTTCCTTCTAAGAAGATACAGTTATGTGTGGCCTCATACTCAGGGGTAAGAGTGGGGTCATAATCTAGCCTAAGTATTATACATATACACACACACATATACAACACTTCATAATTTCTTTGTACAGGCCCTGATCCTGCAGTCAGACTCATGAGGGCAGATCCCATATCTATAGGATTTGAATTTAAGGGTCTGTCCATACAGGAACAGGATCTAGCAAGTGCACTTTTGTGAACTATCTTGATTCTATTACAAGTCTTGTGACACGTGGTATTTTTCTTAAAGCCCCAGTATCTGGATTCCTACAATTCCATGACAGCTTCAGTTTTTTCTCTTTCTTTTCTCTAGAGCTTCTCACTACCCTGTCCTGCTGGGCCAGCTCAGATGGTCTTCCCCAGCCACGGCACAGAGCTGAGATCACTGCACCCCTCCCATCGGAGGAGCAGTACAGACACTGAAGCTCTTTAGGTCCAAGGAAAATGCAGTTTGGGGCCCAAATTCTTGAGATAACACTCTCCAAATGGGATCAGAACCCCAAATGAATTATTTAGCTAAGTCCCCTTTAACAATGAAAGGAGGATGTACACACTGATTGCTTCCCCAGGTAACAATTATTTACACTGGGCTTGATAGTAAATAAAAGTAATTTTATTAAGTGCAAGCAGTAGAATTTAAGAGGTTGTAAGTGAGAACAGGCACTGCAAAGTAGATTACAAATTTAAAACAACAAAAAATGCATAGCTAATTCTGAAACTAAAACCTCAGTACAAACTCACTCTAGAACTGTTCTTATTCCAGCTAAGCCTTCAAAGCAGGGAAGTCTCCTTTTTCACTGGGGTCTTTAAGTTATCCTCTTGGGTGGGCCATGCCAGCCAAAGACCAACAACAAACAAACAAACAAACAAACCTAGCTTTATATTGTTTTATAGATTCCTACTTTGGGAAAGAATTCTATTTCTACATTCCACCCTTACATGGAAAATCACAGCTAGTCAGACCCTACCAAGGAGGATCACATGACTTCCTAGGACCAACCACTGTTAAGACTTAAAGGAAAAAGAAAGCTGTTTACAAGTCATCTAGAAATTGAGGATACACCCCCTAATGGCTTTCATTTGCACATTTAAAACCATAAAGCATTCCATACTCCATATATCTAACTTTACACACAAGAATGAAAGATACACCAAAATAAGATATATAGACCCAGCAGACTATGACGTTAAGATGGATAAGTTACATGAGATATTTTGTCCAAAGCATCTTCAAGTTATGCATATTGTGTCCATAAGCCCATTTCACAAAGCAGGGTTGGGGGGAATCTGTCACAAGTGTAATAACATAAATTTTGAAGGATTAACCCCTTCCTTCCCCAGAGTGCTGGCTCCTGTTTTTTGCATGGTTGACATTATTGCTAATATCACCAAAAATAATGTTAGTAAGTAGCCAACAGAAGGATTGGGACCCAAGTCTACACAGGAGCACAGCTAGAATAATCAGCATAAATAACAACTAATAGTTATTCATTGGGGCACTACCAAAGATAAGTATGGGAGCCCACAAATCCTGAGTTCTATTCTGGGCTCTGGTACATGCTCCCCTTTGTGGTTTCCAGCAAGCCTTTTAACTTCTTTGCTTCAGTTTTGTTACATACATTAGGAAGTATGTTATTTATTTAATTATACAATGATGTACAATTAATTAAGGTGAGTTAAATGTTAAATATTAACTGTGATTATCCCAGCTTCCACATTATGTTGGTCATGTGCAGAGAGTAACAGCACTGCTATTTTTCAGACTTGGCTTTTATCACAGCACTGAGCCTGCTGTGTCCTATCCCAGATTACCAGAAGTCTTCAATTAATGCTAACGTGCTAAAACTCACTGTAAAACTGAAGAATTTACAGCTTTATTGACACCTGAAAAATAACCTTTTCTCTTGAGCTTAACCAAGATAGGTGTGCAAGTAACTCAAGTTCCTGTCCTCAAGGATATTTTAAAAATATATCCCCAGAGCTGCTGACAAGATTGCTTGTGACTGCAAAAGAACTAATGAAAAGAAAGATGAATGCCTCAAGTTTTTTAGCATCAACCTGGGAATACCTTCCAGCATTAAAAAACTATCTAAGTCAATAAACTCTGGATATGATATTTGATAATTACCATGTTGAAGATTGCAGCTTCACTACTGTCTTCAGAGACACTGACAGAATTTAGACAAACTATGCAAAAACAACTGCAGCAATACACTGTTTTAAACTGCAACCTTGGAACATAACAAGTGGAATGGTCCAAAAACTTGCAGAGCATTGTGTTACTGAGCCAAATATAATGGTTCAAAAACTAGGTATAAATTAGAAAGAATAATGTGTAGAATGAAACATGTGAATAATTAAACACAAGTTTAAATGAAAGAAGGGTTTTTTTAAATTCTTTCCAATGGATGCAAATTTTACATTTTTTCCCATCAAACTATAGGCATATTAAGTTGGTGCTGGTAATAAATCCTCCATAGCTACAGTATGATGTCACTGTAGGTGAACTAATAAAAAGTCATTGCTGATGTTATGGATGACAGAAGGGAGAATTGCTTAAGACTGTTACATAAACTATACTTGACAGATTTCACTATCTAGGAGAAGCAGCATCCTGACTTTTGGCTGCCTACTAATATCTGCTCAATGTATATTCATAGTAGTGCAGTTTCAACAGATCACACAGTTCTCAGAGGGAATGCATTTAACAAAAAGAAACATTTCAGTATTATCTGTGTCTTGTACTGCCAGACCTAAAAGGTACATCTCACAGCGGGTAAGAACATGATGGGGACTAACCTAGCATTGACTATTTCAAAACCGCCCAATAGGCAATAAAGACTCTGTGCCTTATTTTGATCTCAGTTAAACTTATGGGAATGAGAAGCACTGCCAGTGACATCAATGGTATTTACACTGGTGTAAAAGAGACCAGTATCAGACCTCTATTCTGTGCCAGATAACTGACAATCTTATTTTCACAGAAAATCATGCCATGTCTCATGGAGATGTCTGCCTCACCAAAGGTACTGACTGATGGAAACAATACAAAAGGAAAATGCAAGGAATTTAAAAATTGAGGAACGCAAAGAAGAAGAGGAGCTGATTGGACTGTAAATGGTCTAGCTGAAGAGTGACCAGCCTATGGTTCATGGGACATATATGACCCATGAGAGTATTTCAGGAGGTCGGTAGCCTGTTTCAACACACTATTCTATCATAAGCATTTTGATATGTTTACATCCTTTTAGCTTACAGAAGCATGGGAAGAGACTACATAGAAACAACCTATCTAAATACATAGAAAACAAGCTGACGCTATCTACATACATAGGAAACAAAGTTGTCAATACAGATAGTTTTGAATCTTACTAAAATATATATAATCTCTTTGCCCCACTCAAGGTTGTTCTTAGGTTTCCATGGTTCTCCTCTGTAATAAGGCTGAACAGTCCTATTCTAGATAACACCTCGTCCTGCCTCAATGCAGGCAATCAGACTAGATGATCTTCCAGTCCTAAATTTCTATGTTTTCTACAATGTCTATGTCAATCAGTAAACATCTCAATAATACTAGAAATGAATTAAGCAATCTTAGGGCCAGACTGTGCCTTATCTTACTCACTCTAGTAGATAGTTACCACACTGAAGATAACAGAACTCAGTCTATTCCTGTAATTGCTCCCCCTTATGCAGACAGGAACCACAGCCTGGCCCCAATGAAAAGTCATCTCTTTTTCTTCTTGTAACCAAATGGCAATATTATTGAATTTTTTTATTATTTTAAATTCTTTGCAATAGGAACTTTGCCTGAATAAGGACAAAGAACTGAGGAGGAACTTCATGATCTGGCTCAATAAGAACACAGCAAATACACTTTTCTGCTTTGCTTTCATTGGAAGCACTTCATCATTCCCCTTTCCCTAATCCAAATACAAATTAAGTTAGCCAAAGAAACACACACATGAGGCCCAATGCTGGCCCCACTGAAGTCAATGGCGTGGGATCAGGCTTATGCATATCTGGTAGTACAACTAGGTCCTCAGTAATAGTTACAATATTACAGCTGAAAAAAATTGTAGAGCATCAGTAAATCCTCAATCTTTATTTTGTGTTGAAAGCTTTCTGAGGAAACACTGAATATGGGAAAGAAGTTGATAAAAGCATGATCTGATAGACAAGTCTATGCATCAAAACAAAGAATCACTAATTCTTTCCCTCCTCCAACTAAAATCATCTTTTTCTTTCAGGTACTAGATGTTCCAGATGTACCATAGTACCAACAGCATGAATTAAGAAGGGCTTTTTCAGCTAAAAGGCATCTGCTACCACAATTAAGAAAACCCTGCTTCTAGGGAGAAGACATGTTCTTTTTGTAAACAAACAGAGAATAAAGGTACATATACTGCACATCTTTTTCAAAGTACTGGCTTAGGGCCTGATCCGAAGCCCTCTAGAGTCCATCTTTAAGAGTTGAGTGCTTAATTATATTTTTAATGTAACTGACTTAAAGCTCTCCTGTACTAAAATACTATAGATAACACATGGAAAGAACCTAGACAATGCTGTTTATGACAGATGTGAAGTTGATATGTAATAATGTTACGAATACTGTATGTGACCTGGTGAAAGGAAGTTATTGTCTGGGAGGGTAATGAAATGTTTATTATATATCTGTGGAGACTTCTGGACTATTTCTATGCCCAGAATCTAGATCAGGCCTTTTCCCCTCAGGGCTTTATTTGCTGGTGGTGCTGATGATCTTCAGGAAAATCTCCCAAATAAATAGTTCAACTTTAATTCAACGGCTGCACAGTTCACCTCATCCAGGGCTTCCTTGTCAGAGCTTACATGTCCCTGGCAGCTCTTCCTGTTCCTCCTCCCCCAGAGGCTGCCTGACTAAAAATCTCTGACCTCCCCACACAGACATCTCAGGAGCTAACCTGCTTTCTGTAGCAAGACCTCTCAGTCCACCTCTTTCAATCTTTATAAGTATCACCTCTCCCCTGCTGAGTCTGATTATCCCTTCTATCAGGCCCAAACACTTGTCCTTAATAGCATTCTGCCCCAGAACAGGACTGGATAGCCCCAAGTCCACTGGCTCTTAAAATGGCAGCTTCTAATACTTGAATTCAATAGGGTCTGTACAGAAAGACTACAAAATAGCTTCCCAGATAAGAACATCCAAGCTCTCACTTAATAGACAGTCGCATCCTTCTTGGCTCTAGGGCTGTGGTGTCCAACCAGTTCTGAAGCGGTAGCCACTATACAGGGTTCTGCTGTAGTGACCTAATCACACTCAATCAGACACAGTTACATGTGGCTAGTGGCTAGCATGTTGGACAGCATGGCTCTAGGGTGAAGTGACAAAGCTTCTTTTCCAAGGTGGAAAAGAGTTAAAAAGTATTTGTGATCCCTGCAAAGGGTGAAGAGTCACCAGGAGCCAGAATCAGTGAGTTCTGTCAGGAGACAAGCTGACAAAATGAGAGTCTGTGGGGGTATGTCTACACTACCACCCTAGTTCGAACTAGGGTGGTAATGTAGGCATACCGCACTTGAAAATGAAGCCCGGGATTTGAATTTCCCGGGCTTCATTTGCATAAGCCGGCCGGCGCCATTTTTAAATGCCGGCTTGTTCGAACCCCGTGCCGCGCGGCTACACGCGGCACGGGCTTAGTTCGGAATGGCTTGCTAGTTTGAACTATCTAGCCCGTGCCGCGTGTAGCCGTGCGGCACGGGGTTCGAACAAGCCGGCATTTAAAAATGGCGCCGGCCGGCTTATGCAAATGAAGCCCGGGAAATTCAAATCCCGGGCTTCATTTGCAAGTGCGGTATGCCTACATTACCCTGCTAGTTCGAACTAGCGGGGTAGTGTAGACATACCCTGGGAGAGGTTATAGGAAGTTAGTCCTTCCTCTGCCCCCATATGGAAGAAGACTAAACACCTGGTAAGCTACTAGACATATGTAATGTGTTACATTATTTTTACAGTATGTTTTCTAGAAATGCTTCTGTGCTAAATCAATGTTATTTTACTTCAGGATGGTTGTTTGGTCTCTAATTATCAAGAGGCACAGAATGGCAGGGGCTGAGGTTAAAGCTATGCCTATACTTAGGGCAGTACGTGCTGCAGACTTTCCACTGCTGGAGACATTACTGTAGCAGAGAAAGGCTCTGGGAGGCAGACAGGAAGGTAACAGGACATAGCAGTGTGGCTGTGAGGGCAATGCTTAGTTCAGCAGAGAGCTGTATGGAGTATATACCCAGGAGGTTCAGGAGAATAGGATACTCTGTTCACCTATGCTGTGTCTCACAGTGTACAGGACTACTTATACCAGCATTATTTGGTTGTGCAGTGTGTGCACTGTGCATGCCATCATAAGTTCAGATGCACCTTTAGTCAGGCCTGCTGAGGCAATCATGGTTAGTACTTGGACACTGCTACCTCAGGCCAGTCAGAGAATTACATAATTGATTATGACATAATGGCAGTTGCACTCAATAAGACTCTGATTGAATGAATCAAAGTGGTCAGTTTGCTTAGTAACCAGGACAATGCTATGTGTTAGAATAAACTAACGTTTAGAGTCTAAACATGCTGACAATGTCTTTTAATGGCTGTTCAATGTGTCTGGTCAGCATGTCTTTTTTCCCCCTTATTTTGTTCCCACTGTAAATGTGAGACCAATTCAAGCACTGTGGACTTTCTTTGCATCTTCCACTCTCTGCTACAGCTTTGTGAGGTTTCTGCACTGCACTCTGCACTCATCCAGCTGCAGTACTTTTTTTAAACAAACAAATTTACGACAAAGAGGAAGAAAATGTGATCAATAGACAAGGGCGACAGAAACAGAATGGATTTTGGTAGCCTCATGGCAAGCTGGAGAGATGTGTTGAATTGGTGTCCCTTTCCCTGACTTTGTCCCACCAGCTTCCTCAGTTCCAGGTCAAGTGCTTTTACTCTTCCCACTAGTTTTTAGATCAACCTGTCCTCTCCTAGCAACTTTTAAAGGAAGTTGATGAAGAGACATGGTGACGGTTTAACTAGAGGCAACTTCAATGTATGCTTGGTCCCTGCTGTTTGTACACTTCCCTCACCAAACATTTTCTTGAGAAGGCATCTGAAATAGAATAAGTCCTATATCCCTCTATCAGGTATGATTATTTTGTGAAGTAGGCAACAGCCATTTCTTACAACCAACACACACAGACCTAAAATACTCACCTACTTCTATTCAGTCCTTTTGTATTTTACAGTACAAATAAAATCAACACGGTTTACAGTACAAATAAAAACAACATGGTAACCAATTTTACCATTGTCTTCCCCACTTTCTATTCACCTAGACAAGAACAAATGGTTTTATGTAAGGCCATAGGAAAGACCAATTAGGAAGAAAAAAAAAAAAGGAAGCCAAGAAAAGTGGTGACTCATGGTTGACCAGCAAAGAAAAAGGCAGAAGAAATTCCTCTTTGTTCCTTATTCAGAGTGAAGTTAGAGTGACATTAAAAACTGCAGGGTGATAAATTACTGTTTTACAGCGTGATGTAGTTGCAGTAATACACAATCACTACCAACCTTCTTCAACATCACATATAACAGTCAATTCCTTTCCCAGTTCATAGATGCAAATTCTTACAACTAAATATAGTCTAGAGGGGAAAGGAAGGAGCAGTTCCCATCAAATGCAACTTTAAACGCTTCAAAAGTTTTGATCATCACTCATAAAAAAATCACAAGATAAACAGGAAACTGATCTTAGGTTTAACCTTCATTATTGCCATATTTTTCTCCTCTTTCCTTCTACAACCTTCCTTAATGAACGAGGTCTTTCACTTTTCCTTGATGTTCATTTTTCAGTCTTTTTTCACTCTTTCTACCCTGTACTCAACTTTAATCTTTTAAAAATTGGATCTCTTCTCAATTTCAAGTGAAACAGGAACTGAAAAACAATGAAATATGTGCCATACTTTCAAACCCTTAACATCAAGTGGGTTCAAATTTAGGCAGAAAATATTTCCTCGTGTGACATGGTCAGTTCCTCACACTCTCTCTTGTAACTTCTTCTGTGCTTGTAGAGTTCAAATTTTCAGATCAGGAAAGAGAGCAGGTCTAAATTACAGCAACTGAGTTAAATTCATCCCTGATGACCCACTGATTTCAGTGTGGTTTCCATAGGGAGGAAGGTGGATCAATACCTGTAGATGTTATCCAGAAACTGTCTATCTTTACTGAATGTTTTAAATACCATCATCATACATACATGATTGGGGGGAGGGAGGGAACCCTGCTGCCACTGGTTTAGTGCATTTAAAGAATAATAATAAATGCTTAAATAAACATTACTAGAAAAATTGAACAAGATAGATTTAAAACATCATACATGAAAAGCATATATTAGAGTACCTACTATATTTTATAAAACTAAGGAGACAGTTAAAGGAATGACAGTCTTTTCTTGGTTTGCAGGTAGGTATATAGAAATTTCCAGTTAGGTAAACTCAAAAGAACTTAGCCCCTTAGGATCAAATATGCAAAATCTTATTAAATATAAAAATCCTGTTAATTTTGTACATATACAAATGTGAGGTTGATGAATGGATATTTGGGGTTATTAATTTTAAATATTTACATGTATTAAATACGCACTGGTTGATAAAATATGCTGTGTAATTTTAGCTTTTATTCCCTTCAGAACAATATGGTACAGTATTATAAACTTTAATAACAAGAAAAGAAACAGTGGATGATTTATATATGGTAAAAACGGACTCTTACCTACGTCCCAAGTAACGGGATTATTCTCTTCCATCTCCTTTTTTCCAATGACATACCAAATGCATGCCATCCAGTGAGCAAGCAATGCAAACATAGACATAAGAAGAGTGAGGACAATTGTGCTATGCTGGGAATAACGATCCAGCTTTTGAAGGAGTCGTAAAAGACGCAGCAATCGGACAGTCTTCAGGAGGTGGACAAGGGACACCTAGGGGAATAAGATAAAGCAAAAGAATTTTCAGTACTGTTGAAATATACTAAATAAAGTTGCGATTTAATGGAAGAAAGAAAGCTCTTTCCCCGCCCAACTTCTATGAAAATTCCCTGCCATAAGCACACACAACTTGGTTACTCAATGCAAGTATTGAGCTAAGATTTAAAATCACAAATTCAAACGTGGTTAAGCCAGTACATTTTAAAAAAACTGAATGTATATAGATATATAGATATATAAATATGTTTATATGAGTACAATAAAAAAAAAAAGACACACACAAACTGACCAAATTTCATGACTCCAATGTGAAGAAACTAACTGCCTCATTTTTGTACCAGTATTTTATTATTGCTATTAAAGAGCCAAAAAATATGATCAAATAAATCACACCGGACCTAAG